GTGGATATTTCTTTCAGGAAATTCATGAATTAAGAGCCCACGTAGAAGCTGCAAAGTATGATGTGATCAAATACTGCATAGGTACTCTTGTTTCCATATCTGCAGTGGGTCTCGCTGTAATCCGCATCATATTATAGTCTTCCGTGATTTAGTGGAGCGTGAATAGTATTTGTATTGACGTCTCTGTTTACCTTTTTCTTATCAATTTCGTAAAATACAAGGATCACCCATTTTTATCCATTGCTACCACAAGACTAAAGTTTTTTCAAATTCCACCCTTGACTAAACGTGCAATACAACCCTACCAACACTCCCAAAACAAAATGTTAAATCGTATAGAATTCGATGGTTAGGATTACTGACCCCAAAAAAAGTTGCTATTGCTCCGTCCGATTGGAAACGGGTTATTGTATCTTAAATAAGAAGACTAATGGAAGGAATAGAAACGACGTTGTTATATACGGAATGCCAAAGGATGCACTGTTCCTGAAGGCTTGATGTTGAATTTTTTCTTTTAAATATAGTTACTGATTTCAATGGTCCTCAACGATATTTTTACAAACCCTGCCAAAAGAAACTGTGTACAGAATCATGGAAGATTCGATGGGTTTGATTCTGGGAGCGACATTTTAGATTTAATGAAGTGAGAGGTTAGAGTGTTGTCGTCTCCCAACACAAGATATTTTTGCTATTCATCTGGGGGATTCTTGTGGTGGTGCCCTAAGGTTGGAGTTCCAGAGTCTGCTCCACCAGTAAAGAAGGTATAACAAAAGCCACATCTATATTTAGCATTCTAGGATGTATGGTAGATAATAATTTGGAGAAATAATTATCTATATTTGAATCTTTTATTAATAAATTGATACATTAAAGTGAATATGTTTTTTTTAAAAAGTAAACGTTTCTGATAAGATCAAGAACGAAGATTATTCTTTGGTGCAACCTCAAGCTTTAACATTACTTACACAAGGTGGCTAAGAATTTTTACACGGACCTACTTTGTTCGGTAGCCGTCATGTCCTTGTTTAAATTCGTTTGATTTTTCTTTTTCTTTTTTTCTTTTTGCAATTTCGTAGTAAGAACATTTGATTGGTGCAAGGTTTTTCTCCTTTATATCTCTAACAGACCCTTGCTATATCTTAAATTTGACTTAATTGTATTTTTATCATCACATTTTGGTTTTTTCTTTTTTTTTTTAATTCTTTTGGTCCTAATTGTTTCAATTTACCGTACTTTGGAATTCGAAATTTATACAGCAGTTTTGCACCTTCTCAATTATATATTTTTATTGTGTTTTTTCACCTTCTAAATACAACCACCTTCATTAACTTTATGGGCAAAAAATATTTACAATAAGTTGTAGTTATCTAATAAAAAAGTACAAGTAACCCTACTACATCATTATAATATTACCAAAATTAATATATATTAATAACCAATATTTTAATAATTACTATTTTTAATTATATTCTTTCTTTTTTTATTAGCCTAAGAAAGTTGACGCATTTAGGGGTCCATGTTTCCAAAGAATTACCGGAAACTGGACTCCACTTTTGACCAAGTCTGATCCTTTTTGTAATAATGGGCCAAAACGATGGAAGGATTTTTTAGCAATTGCCATTTTGTTTCATTCTTGAACAAAATATTAGAATAAGTGGCTCCTTTGTGTTGCTTTCAATGCTTTCTTTGGCGGCCCCTTTGTAAAAGAATGATAAGATAAGACCATAAAATTTTTACGTTCATTTTGATATAAAGTATAAAAATAAAATAGTTATAAAAAGTTAAATTTTTTTATATTTTAAGAAAGAAGAAAATAAAAAATAGTAATGTAAAATAAATGTAAAAAAAATTATATGTATTAAAATATATTTTTTTAACTTTTTTATATAGTGGAAATAAAAGAAGTGTTTTGTTCTTCTTGTTGCTTTCCTTTTGTTTCTGCATGTGGTTCTCCTTTTCTGCTTTTGTTTTAGCTTTCATTCCTATTGTTTCCATGGCCAAGCTTCTTGTGAGATTGTGTTCTCACAATATCTCAGCTTTCTGAAACAACCAAAATTCTAGATTTCTCGTCAGAACCAAATTCAGCAATGACTTCTTTGCCGTCGTAGTTACATTGTAACCACTTTTATTAGTTTGGCAAGATTCCATAATATCGTTAATGCAGAATTTCATCTTTCCAATGCTTACACTTATAAATGTAATTATTTATCAGTGTAAAGTTCAACGTTAGATTAATTATTTCTCTGTTAATTTTTAAATTATATGTGTGTGAGTGTTTATTGAAAAGAAAAATAAAGGAAGTAAAATATCAAATTTAAATAAACGAGTGTAATTATGACATGGGAGTTAATGCCGTATATTAATTCTAAAAGATTAAAAGTAAACGAAAATTAATTGTTATTGCTGTTTCAATAAGGGTTTTCTCCACTATAGTTTAGGGTCAACCTATAATTCTTTATTTTTTATTTTTTTGTGTTGGATTGAGTTTTTTTTTTTTGAGTTAATATAAAAGTAAATATTCCTAATAAAATAATCACTTGTTATCAGGAAAACAGAAGAGGAATAAAAGAGTAGTTTTCTGATTATTTCTTTTTAACAACCCAGAGTTTCTTATGAGAAACAAAATAAAAACTTTGAATTAAAATATTTTTTTATCATAAAATAAATACTATTTATATCAAATTCATTTAAAGTAAACAGTTTTTAGCAATCACTTTTTTAAGAGCAAACAAATATATAGTGATGATTATATCTAAATTCTCCGCATGTGACAGTAAAACTAAACTATATATACAACCTTGTATTTTCTAGCTATATATAATGTGAAGGAAAAAAGGTAATATTTTGTCATCAACCAATAAAACACTACCGTTATTAGAACATCGATAAAATTATTGTAATCCAATAAAAATAGTTATTTAATTAAAAAATAAAACTTACAACAATTGTGAAAATTATACTCCCTTTATATACATCTTCATTTTCTAGAAGCTACTGACAGTAAATGTGAAAGGTTGTAAATGCAATTTTTTTGACTAGTTCATGGAATTGAATAAATTGAGATTTACTGGATTGAAGCTTAAATAAAACAAGACCATATATATATATATATATATATATAGTTGAGAAGTTCTGTACAGCATGTTAAAACTTAGAAATTATAATGGTGGAGGGCCCTTTCTGTTGTAAGTTTCTGGCAAGTGTTGTTGTTGAGTCTGTTGTAAGCAAGCATGAAATAGTCTAAAGATTGAACCTACTAATCAAACATTGAGTGTTTCAATTTAAAAGTTTTGAATAGTTCAGTAAAAGTCTCCATATCACATTCCATGAAATTATATTTTTATTATACATATAAAAGGAGGGCAAGTTATTTATTTACTTTTCTTAAAAATTGGCAAAAGGAAAAAAAAAAAAAGTATGGTGATTTGAGTGATTGAAGTTAACCAGAGTTAGACTGGGTCCTTATCTACCAAAATCAAATGTGAGTCAGTGATGCAAGCCACAAACCGTTTCAACGTCACTATTTGTTTTCGGGACTTTTTGCTTTTTTAGTGCTTCAAACTATTTCCACCTAATTACTCCCTCTTCACTGTTCACACCATTTGATTTTGTTTATGTTCTTGCCAAAACCCTTTTTCAGTTTATATTGGTTGGCTCACTGGATTCAGCCGAAAATAAGTTAGCTTATCTTGGTATATAGAAAAGTAGTTAAGAAGGGTGAGTGATCAATGTGTATTCTTTAGTCCAACACTAAACGACCAATGAATTGATTAGTAGAATGACAGACAAGATTAATAATAAAAATAATTATGTTAACTCTAAGTCAGGTCATTAATATATGAACTAAAATTGGATCAACATTAATTAGAAATCTATTCTAAAAGTTTATGTTTGTCGAAAACTTTACCTTCACACTTTAAATTAGTCATTTATACTACTTTTACATCATTTATCCTTTCTTTTGTAAAGTCCAAATCCGAGGTTACCTGCTAAAGACACTTCGACGTTTAAGTTAGTTTCTAATTACCGATCGATTATCACAATTAAGTCTTAAATGTCTATTAAACGCAATCACATACCTCTATACTTTATCTTTGTATTTATAGGTTTCGAAGTGAACTTTTGATTAAGGCTAACCAAATTGCGGTCTAACATCACCTAAGTATGTTTTCACCTTGTTAATAAAAAAAGGTTAAATCTTTGAACCAAACAATCACAAAGTTGGTTTGCGACAGTTTACCTATGTAGTTGACCGAACAGGAGACATAGACCGATCGGTTTGTACAGCATCTATAAATATAGATAACACCTTATCTAACCGAATGATAAAGAGAGAATGAAAAACTAAATCTTTGACTTCGACTCTATAAATCGAAACAAAAAGTCAAACAAAAGCTAACTGAGTGAGTAAGTAAAATTGTTATTTGAGGTGAGGATCTTCATGGGGTTTTGGAACTTTTAGATACCTTATTCCTTGCAAAAACGCATTGATTATAAATAAATTGCGGAGAGAGTTACGCAGTGAGGACCATTGAAAAGATTTGGTTTCATTCTTTTTATATGACCAAGAAGCTATAATGACTTGACTCATAATATCTAAAGCCATGAATGAAGGTCAACTCCTGAAGAAGAGTTATCAAATTTGATAGATTTATTTTGAAAAGAAAAGAAAAACAAGTTATATGATAAAGGGTAATAAGCATTATGAGTGGTGTGAAGGTTAATGTTATTTGGGTGGTATCCACTTGGTAAGTGGAAGTATCATAGATTGAATGGTTGTTGGAAGTTCATGGCATTGTGTCCCACCACCAACTACAACTTCACTCACATGCACGCACGTTACATGTATTGCACTTAAAAACAATTGCCCACTGCACTACCACCACTCTCTCTATCTTCTTCTTCTTCTAATAATAATAATAATAATAATAATATCAACTAATCCAACTCCATTTCCCACTAACACTAACTCAATATATATAATAATAAAACAAAAAGACTTTGTTTTTGTTTATCTTCACAATGAACATAAATAAAATCAAAAGATGCTAAGGAAAATGGGATACATCGTTACAAACAATCAATGCCTAATTTCTATTTCTCATACTAATATATCCCTCACCTAACTACGCCCTACTACTAACTATAACTAAAAAAACGCTAAATAAATATAATACAAAAAACAAACCGGTTCAAACCGGTTTCTGTATACCTAATCTGCCACGACTCTTCCTAATCTAAGAATATCAGCAGGTGGGAACCATTTGGGCCTGGGGATGGGCCTCCGGCCCAGAAACCCCTTTCTTCTTGCGAATCTCCAACACTTTCCGGTGGCTGTTGGAGTGAATATCGCTGCAGAAGGTTGGGCTACAGGCCGGTCTGTACTCCGAAAAAAGCCGACCCGATTTGTACCGGACCCCGCACGCGTTGCAGAGGGTTTTTGCGCCCAGTGGGCCCGTCCTCCACTGCGGTGTCTTCTGCACTTGACAGTGACTGCACCGCCGCTGAACCTGGACCCCAACGGGCTGGGCCTCGGCCCGCTTTTTCTGTTTCTTCGCGGGCGGCTCCGTCGAGGAAGACGAGCACGAAGACGGCGAGGACGGGAGAGAGAGCAACGGGCCCAACGACCACACGCGAGCGTTTGGTTTTCTATTCCGTACAGTTCTTGTCTTGGTTGTTATCTTCGTTTCACACGGAAAACGAGGCGTTTTCTTCGCTGAGGGTTCCGGTTCGACCCGCCGGTTCACTTCCTCCGGACGAACCGGGTATAAAAGAGACAGCTCCGGGAGAGAATCGTCAACAAAGTGTGAAACCCACTCTAGGTCCTCCAAATCACCGGCCTACATAATTTCAATTATCAGAAAACACAATAGAAAAACTAAAGCAGGGTTAGGAAAACAGGAAACAGACAAAAAGACATACAGAGAGAGAGAGAGAGTTACCGGAACGGCTAGTTCGGCGGAGAAAATTGAATCGTAGGAAACTCCGGTGGAATTAGAGTTGCTATCGTCTTCTCCACGGTCCTTTGACTGCGACGAGGCCGATAAACTTTTTTTTTCTTCCACGTATTCTTGTGGTTCGTAGTGAAGAGAGCCGTCTGAAAAGTCAAATAGGTCGTCGACGGAGAAATCGTCGCCTCCGGCAACGGTGTTGGCGTTGAGGGAAAAAAAATCCTCGCAGTGCGTTTGCTGGACGATGAACTCCCGCCTTAAACTCGGTTTCAACGCTTTGGCCACTGCTACCTCCATTTCTACGACAAACCGAACCAGAGTTTACAGTTAAAGCTTTGGGAAAGAGAGTTGAACTGTGTTAAAGGGAAAGGAACGTGAAAGTTTACTTTTTTTATTTGGTGGCTGATTAATTATTGGAGTTTAAGTTACCTGTAAAGAAGAAGAACGGGAGGGAGGGGAAACTGCAGAGGAGTTTTAAAGGTTTGAACTTTGAAGGAGAGAGAAACAAGACAGGAGGAAGAGAGAGAGTTTCTTCGTGGTATTTAATTTCTTTAACTTTATCTCTCTTTCCGTCCTCTCTCTTATCAGGATCTCTGTTCAATTTGAATAAATAAATAAATAATAAAAAATAGAAATATATATGCAGAGTACCAAATCTTGGTTGTAAGAGTTTGAAGGAGAGGGTGTGATAGTGGCAAGCGTGTGATATTTGGTCACGTGGTGGGGCTTCGGTATTATTAGTCCTTCCTCTTTCTAATATTTATTTTTTTATTTTTTTAAATTTTGAATGGATCGTTCTTTGATGGCTCCGTAAGTTCAAAAGTTGTGCCCTCGATGATTCTTATTTTTGACCGAACCTAGGATTAAAAAAAACCGAAACTGGTCCAATGTAACCGCATAAAAACAAAAACGTTAAAATCAAACGCCGGTTTTGACTGTTACAATCGCAGGGCAGGCTGAGGGTGTTCCGTTAAGGGTGCGATGAAGCGCGTTTTGAATAAATGAGAGGGAGTCATAGGTTTGGTCGGGCGCGTCGATCTCGGGCAGTGACGTGGCGCGGTTACTTAAACCTATGGATAATACATGTTATTTTTCTTAGTTCACATCGCATGCTTTGTTGTTCGCGGGCGTGTGATTGGTGGAATGAAAGACATGCAGACACGTCGGATAGGCGCGTGAAGGTTTCGATGGCGTATTGACTTTTAACAGTGTGATGAGGCGCTTTGATTCATACCTCAACTTTACGTTTGGAGCCATTACTTTCTGTCTTCAACCATCAAAACGCGCGTTTCTTTTCTCAATTATCCCCTCTTAGCTGTCATCCCAAAACCAGATATTGCTTTCTTCTCAATTATTATCCCAATTATTACAATTCAATTTAATCCTAATCTCTTCAAATATACCACCATCACACCCAATGTCTAAAATTTAATAATAATCACAAATGTATTTAGTGTATAAAGTTTTATTTTTCATCTATTATTGTAAGAAATTGTTTACGTTCTCCATCTATCAAAAAATAATGTTACTACAAACTTTTAAGGTAAATAATTTTAATTGTATTAACTTAATCTATTGAATGATCTCAATTTCTATGTCGGAAATGTCATTTTAATGGTTAAACTATGTCACATTAATGATAATGGATTAGCAAACTAATCAGCGTTGCCATCTCCATGTGTTTGATACTTTTTTACCACGTTATTTTGTTTTAATAAGTTAAAATTCAATTCTATTTATTTCAATTTCATATTATGTATTATTTATATTACAATAGATTAGTGTGCTTTTTTTTTTGTGATATAACAGTTTGTTTACTACTTTTTCCATTACTATTATTTAAATTTATTTTCTATTTTTAGTTTTTATTTTCATTATGAGTTAGCGGGATATTAATGATAAAGTAGGGAAATGATTTATATACTTTTACTTGTGATAATTTGTATAGTATATTATTATATATTTTTAACATAATATAATATTAGCTTTTACTCGTAGCACATTTGAACTTGATTCCGATCTTATTGTTGTTTTCATTTAATTATTTAATGTGCATTAGTTGATTTTTTTTTTTACTTTTCTATAATAAATATAAATTTATAGATCTCTTATTTCAAGCCTTTCTTTCATCTTATAAACTCAACTCTATTTTACATTTTGCTCTATCCTGTGACCATTATTTTTTTAATACACTGTAAACTAATTTTATTTATGATATCATAACTTATCCAATGATTATTTTTGGCACGTTATATGCATCAAACCAAAAATTCCAACAATTAAGTTAATTAATAAAAAACTATTATCTTACAATATGTCAATTGTAAAATTTGAAATCAACATCTTATTTATATTATTTGAATTTTATAACCAAGTTAATTTAATGGTTCTAAATTGTTTTATGTGTTTGTCTCATTATTTGTTGAGTTCTTAAACTTGGAAGAGAATCAACTATAATTAACTACGAATAGATTATATGAAAATAAAATAAAACCATCACTTAAGATCCAAAACATCAAAATAGTAAATTATAGCTATTATTTTCTCACATATTACTCATGTTATTGCCCAGTAAAAAGATGTAACATTCAAAGTCACTCTAACTGTTGTAATTTAAATATTTCACAAGATATCAAGTTACACATTACATGATTTATATATTTTCTCAAAATTTATAGACTAAGACGTTTTATATATATTTAAAGGAGATAACAAGTTGTGAATTATGTATACGAAATTATAAATATTATTTTGCAGAATGTTTGAACATATTAATTACATAAATAAAATATTTTTATTTCTTCTTTAAATAAAAGATAAAGTTGCTTCTCTGTACCAGTTTATGAAATAACAAGTCTTATTTAGCAAAATATATATTAATTACGCAAAGAAAATACTTTAGTTTTCTTCTTGAAATAAAATAATAAATGATTTCTTTGAGCTGCTGTCAACGTTTCTGTCATGTCCTCTTATGAGGATTTGAACCTTTTTATAAATGTAAAGACGTGGTTACTTTCTTCCCGCCTTAAGCATTTGTGTTCTGTTTGTGTTGTAAAAAACAAAATAAATAAAACAAGGTTGATTTTAAAACACAACCAAATTGAAAATTTGAGCTCTCAAAACCGATTATCAACCCGATCCGGCTTGGTCAACACGGGTTCATCACTTAGTGAACCAACTCAATCCGACTCATTTGTTAGTAAGTCAGAAAAATTTGAACTCGGCTTAACCCATCGAGTTGGTGGGTCAACAGGTTGATTCATTGCCTCACTTAATTACAATTTTTTAAATAAAAATAAATTACAAACTTTCTATAATTCAAATCTAAACAAATTTTATTGAATTTCACTTTCAATATGGGTGTTTAATTAATTTTGAAAATAATGAATTTAAATAATTTTTTCAAGCAAAAAATAATAATTAATATTTTTATAAAATAAAAATTAGAGTTCAACCTGCATGAGCTGGGTTTAAATGAGCTGAGTTAAAATCTGACCCACATAAAAAAAAATACAATTTTTTCAAATCCAACCTGACCCAAACCTGTGGTGGACCGAATTGACTCGCGAACTGTGACTCATTTTAACAACTTTAGTGAAAATTACTCACATTAGTTTAATCATTACATTTTCAGTTTAAATTAATATTTTGAATAAATAAAGTTAACGATCCGTTTTCTTGGCACCATCTTGTGTGCTGCTTGGTATCAAATTCTAACCACTATTTTTCTTTTACAACCACCCTCTTCTACCCACACAATCTCATTTCAAAATCTTAGCTCTTTTACATTTTTGGAGTTACCTTCTTTGTCCACTTCCCCCTATCATAAAGCTTATTTTACTCTTTTAATCTATTGTGGATTGTTACTTCATTTTCTCATATATCACCATTAATCTTTTCATCATCTAATAACATAGCCCCCACGTTCTTTAAGTAATGGAGACTCAAAACACTCGGTTGAGGATGGAAACAAACTGATATTAATATGCATTATTAATAAGCATATCACAAAAAAATTAGCGTATGCGAATACCATAAATAAAATTCTCATAGTTAGTCTATATGAATATTTATTATTCACTTTGGAGATTTTATATTCCCTTATAAACATATTGGGTACGAGCATAATCATATTTATACTTTTATATGTTACATGCAAAAAAATATAATAAAAATTTAATTTATATTTTATTAAGTTAAATTTAATTAAAATTAAAATTAATTTATATTTTATTAGACTAAATTAAATTCTAATTTATATTTAATTCAATTTATAATATATTTTATATATTATTTTGTAATTTTATTCAAGTTTTATTTTAAAAATTTATTAAATATTTTTTTTAAATATTTGCAAGTACCAACGAGTATCCGTAAATTTTTAAATCGGGTCGGGCACGGATAATGTGTACTCGCAACCGACCCGACAAAAACAAATCTACTCACTACTCGACCCACTACCCGCACGGATACCTTCTTAAAAAATATCCGTGAATATTTTAAAATCTGTGAATATCCGTGGATACATGCAAATATTTAAAAAAATATACTTTTATAAAATATTAAAATAAAATTTAAATAAAATTACAAAAAATATAATATAAATTAAAATTTAATTTTAATTAAATTTAACCTTATAAAATATAAATTAATGTTAATTTTAATTATACTTAACTTAATAAAATAAAATAAATTTTTATTTTTATTTTTATTTTTTGCGGATAATGGCGAATATAGGGTGTTGCTCCGTACACCACCACACCTTTCTCCCTCCACCTCCCCTTTATTATTTTGCCCCTCAGTAAAAATAATAATTCACAAATACTATATTTACATTTGGGATAAACTTAAATTTTAGGGATTCATTAAAATCTTATTTTATTAGTTTTGGGTTTAGTAATATTTGATTTGATTTTAATAGAGATAAAATAGATATAGGTAGTTTTGATTTTCCTTTTATTTAGGAGAGTATTATTTTATTTTATAAGATAGAGATACATTAGGTAGATTTTATTTTAAGTTAGTTGATATTCTATTGTTAATTTTTGTTTCAGTAGGGGTGTGGAGACCAAGATACGAACCTAACAACCTTGCTCCGTTTGTCTCTTGTGCTGGCTTCACTGTGTTGTATTTCTCTCTCTCTTCTCTGATCTTCGTAAGCAAAGTGGGCTGGGTACCTGCAAAGGCACTCCGACGCTCAAGTCAACATGGGTGTTGTTCGAAATATGAAAATCTCAATCAATTTTCTCTTAGGGGAAAAATGTACCTTTTTTCTGGTGTGCTTCGTATATTTAAATTAGCATAATAAACCGTTTACCTGAAAATCCGGTCAGTTACTGAAGTAGAAGTTGTAACCGTCGAATTGTGCGCTGACACTGAGTCAATTATTTCCACGATATATGGTCGTGATTCGCGGCGTTATTCAGTCAAGGTGTGTAACTGCTTAACTGCTAGATCACGGTGTCGCATTCTGTATGTCGATCATCATTCGTGTCGACCTAAGTGGGTGACGTGTCGGACGTATGTCTCATGTCGCGACATCGCTTATGCGCTGTCGAGCCTCAAATGGTCGAGAGCGCC